CAAAAGTGTTCTCTACACGTGAAAACTACAGAAAAATGGCTGACATGCGCAGTGGGAGGGTCTCCTGTGAGGGATTCTGACTCAACTCTGCCCTGAGTGACAGCGACCAGACCAAGCCTCCAGCATGCATAGAACCTTGTAGCACAAACCTCAGCCAGGAAAGCAAGATGGGACAGCCAGGCTTCCCAGGCAGCCACGGCGGAGGATGGGGTCCTGAAAGTGTTGCCTCTGCCACTTGTGCACCCTCTGCACCTGAGTCCTGCTGGGAGGCACTTCTCTAAGCTGTACTCCTGGGATAAGAAGACTTTTTCCCCCTTGGGATTGTTGCGTGTTTGTTATTTTTGTGTCCCTTCGTGATAGCATGTTGAGCATGTCTTTTCCCCAGGGATGCGCTGGGCTTTAGACATGACAGAGTGAGCCCCTGCCTGCCTGGGATTCAAAGGAGATGAGTGAGACACCATGCAGCTGAGCCAACATGACACTGGACTGCCGTGGCCTCCGCCAGAGCCTCGCGCCTGGCAGCCCCAGCACTCGCAAGTGGACTCAAGTAACTGTCGTTGTGCCCAGAAGGCTGGAGTAAAGATGGAGTCCTCCCCGAGGCTGGCAGCCATTTCCTTAGTTGAACTTGGCCATCCCAATACCCCTATAGACCTCCTTAGTCTACCCCAAGGTGGGTGCAGATCTGAAGCTCTGTCACTGCTGTGCTTCCCCCTCCCCCATCTCCCAGCCCACTCTACACACAGGGCACTTCTCACTGTGACAGTGTTTGGCCAGCTCTCGGAGACCCACCGCTCCCGCCACTGACCTGTGTTGGCACTTGCCTGCTGATCACAGCAGCTGGTTACCTGGGGGGCCTTTTCTCCCCTCCGCTCTGCCAGGTCCTAAGGTATGACTCCCCTCCACCCCCACCAGAGCCACACTCCCAGACTTCACAGCTGCATTTGTATCTCTCGGGGAGACTGGCACCCACCCATGCCCAGGCTGCACCCCAGGCCAACCAGACCTATCCCTGGGCTGTGTTCGAGGATTAAGGTTTTGGCTTTGATTTTTAAATTGTTCAGGTGAGTCTGTTGCATGGCCAGAGTGAAAAGGGAGAGTTAATTAGGCCTTGATTGTTCTGGAATCACTGTACCCTGCTCAATTTTTCCTTCTAGAGTTTGTTTCCATTTCCTGGACAGAGCCAGATGGTATATGGGCCAGCTCGGTCCCTAGGAGCTCCCTGCCAAGGCCCTTGGCAATGGCCTGTGGGTTGGAACTCTTAATGGCTTCTCTCCCACCTCCTCCCCAGGCGGCCTGCTCGGCATCCACTCCTCGGTTCCCTGGCCTGGTCCCCAGCCTCTGGCTTCCTCTGCCCTGCATCGTGCCTTTGCCCCTCGCCCTCCAACAGGCCTGCCTGTCCTAGCCCTTGTTCCCTTCTTCTAGGGGAGTCGGGCCTATGTGTGGATGACCTGCCAGACCCGTGATGTACAGAGTGGACAAGGACAGCAAGAAGAAAATAGAAGGGGGAGAACAGTTTGGAAACGAGTAGGGCACTGATCACATAAATCATGGATTGCAGTACAATAGAGGATTGCATAATAACTAAGGTGTTGAAGGATTTTTAGAAGTGAAATTAACAGAATGCAGTTATTGGGTCTATTGATAGAGAAATGCCAGGAGGAGGATAGACTAAACACTGGTGATGGTTGTCCTCATGTGGTAAGATTGCAGTTGACTTTATTGTTACAAGTTCATGGGCTTTGCTTTTTAAAGATTAATTCATTTATTTGCACGAGTTGCAGACACACAGAGTATGATAGATCCGTCTGCTGCTGTATTGCCCCGGATGGCTAGAGCAGCCAGGGCTAGGCCAGCCTGAAGTCAGGACCTTCATCTAGGTCTCCCACTTGGGTGGCAAAGCACGTGAGTCATCCTCTGCTGCTTTCCCAGGTCATTAGCAGGAAGCTGGATTAGAAGTGGAGCAGGCACGACTGGAAGCACTGGCCATCTGGGATGCTGCCATCTCAGGCAGCAGCTTTACTCACTATACCACAAATGCCAGCCCTCATTTCATGGACTTAAAAGAAAAAGCATTGGACATGTAATTAGGGTTAATTTGGTGAGCGGGAAGGAGAGTGAAGTTAATGTCAGATGACAATATTTCATTCAGGCCAAATGTGTCTTAGGGAATTTCTACTTCCTACACCTTGGAGTTGGTAGAACAGAATCCTGGGGTAGAGTTGGCACATGAGAAGGGTGGGAGATGGGGGAACTTTCAGGAATATTCAAGTTTCCAAAAGAAGGCCCCTGCGAAGGGCCAGCACATTGAGCTGGCTCTGGAGAAGGACCTGCCAGCACAGAGTGTCTTCTTGGCTCTCGCTCGGTGCCCTGCCGAGCTGCCTGGAGGCACTGGATGCTGTCTTCCCATTGGCTCGCAGCACCACGGAGATATTTCTCTGTGCTGTCTCTGCAGTTGGTTAGCCTTTGATTACACTCACTTTGCCCTGATATGAGGAGCTAATTGAGTAATTATTCACTCACCAAGTGCTAGAATGTCACACAGTACCATTCCAGGTGTTAATTTAATGGCTTCTCCTGACCAGTGATTTGTGCTTAGTTTTGCATTTTCTGCTAAAAGAAATAGTTTGCCCCTAATGCCTGTCTGTTCAGAGGAGAGAGCTTTCACATAGCCAGCCCACTCAGCCATCAGCGAAGGAGTTCTCCCCCAAATAGAGGGAGGAAACCACACATCATTTCAGTATTAACCTCTCTGTCTGGAGCCAGCATGTCTGCAATTACGGCAGTTAAGATGTTTTCATCGGCAAATAATGGGTATCTGATTAAAACTGGCTGAAATAGGAAAGGTTTGTTCATTTCATGTGGCACACTGCCTAAACGGTGTGATGGCTTCGGGTTTGGGTAAGTGCCTCATCACAGTTGCCAGGTACCCATGTTCTTTCAAGTCTTTCTGCCCTGCTGTTCTCAAGGTCTCCAGAACATCGGCCAAGCCGCCCCGTCGTGATCACAAGGTGGCTGCCACAGCCCCTAGCACCCTATCCTTGCACAGTGACACCCCAAGCAGGAAGCAAGTGAGAATGACATGAGGCACCTTCCCCTCTCCCTAGCCAGAGATCTCTAGCCAGAGATGAAATCTTTCCCAGAGGCTCTTGGTAGACTCCCTTGGATTTTCAGTGACTTCAATTGGGTTCCACAGCTACCTGTAGACTAGTCATGGGCAAATGTAGCTCAGGCCAGGGACTGGCACTTTCTCCTGAAACAAGCGGGGGGCTTTGTTAGAAGGAAGAACAGGGAATGGCTGGGGAAAGCAGTGCCTGCCATGGTGCTCAAGTCACCTCTACTTGTGAGGAGTAAATGTCTTTGACCAAGTCATGATGAGGGTCAGCTGCTTTGGCTAGCCATTCCCTTCAGCATCTCTCTCTCTCACACAAATACACACACTTGGTTTGTACATCCTCAGAACTCCGTAGAACCAGAGATCCCCTTATCCTGATCATTCATTGAAGAAGGTGGCAAAGCCAGTGCAAAGGCCTGCCTCTGGACATGTGGCATATGCTGTGACAAAGTGCCCGGATGCATCCATATTGTTCGTTTTTGGCTGTGCTTACTGGTGTCACTGAGTATCCAGTAACCGTGGAGGAAATGACTGAGTGGACTGGTAACTGAATAAGGTCTCCACAGAGTGGTGCCTCTGAAGGCAGCGGGTCAGCCCTGTGAGTCACCAGCAGAAGTGCAGGCTTTGGCTCCTCCTTGGGAGAGTTGGCCAGAGTTTTGGCACAGCCAGAGGAGGAGCCTGCCCTCCCTCCCGCCTTGTGTCTGGGAATCCACGAGCAGCGCTCGCTTGCCCCAGGCCCTTGTACCTTGTGATTGCTTCCTTCTGTGTGGGGACTGCAAGAACATTTATCTCCTGACATGCACTTGGATTTGTGGAAGAAAGAAGCTTCTGCCTTTAATCCCCTTTGTTGCTTTTTTTTCCATTTTTAAATTTTATTTTTTACAATCTTTACATGGTTAATTAGGGCAAAAAGGTTCAAGGGCTACAGGAAAGTGGGTAAGACTATCATTTCCACATATTTTCCCTATGTTTGGGGTAAAGGGGGGGTAAAGGGAGAAGCCCCACCCAGACTCCCACCCACCCCAGGTCCCTGATGTGGGCATGCTCCGAGGGTCTTGCTCAAGTGGTTTTGATAATTCAACAGTTCTGAATTGCTGCCAATCTTGCCATTCCAAGCACGATGAAGTTGCTGCAGAATCCACTGATTGACATAGTCCATCTTAGAGTCTCAGTTTGCCCAGTTTTTCACTGCCAATATATGGCTGGGGTAGTTGTTGATTTGTTCTCTCCTCTTTCTTTTCATGGTTAGGGATCTGAGTTTGTCAGTTCGATTGGGGGGGATCCCCAAAGAAACTTTGTCTAGACCAGGTTCTTGTGTGTACTTGCAAGTACAGGGCCCGGCACAGTCCATTGCCCCAATCAGCTGGTGGTTGCGATTGCTGGGTTGGTTCTGTTTCCAGCCCTGCCTTCCACTTAAACCAATGGGTATTTAGTCCAGCTTGATCCTACCCACTTCATACTCAGTCCTCACGCAAGCCAGTGGGAGCTGCAGCCTAGTCAGAGTGACCCACAATAACCCCCACCAGGCCTGCCCCCTATCCTGGTTCCTGTGCTTGCCATTATGTGCAGCAGACTAGTCCAGTCTGTCCCACATCCCATTGAGCTCTCATACATGTCAGTGGGTATTGAGGCCTAGTTCACCCTTTGTTGCTTTTTAAAGATTGATGGATATAGCTTGAGAAGGGCAAAAGGAAAGACATGTTTCCCTTCCATGCCAACTCCTTAAACAGAGCAGGAAACGATCATTTCATTCTGTTCAAATACATGTATCGACTGACCTCAGAATGTCGACAGCCTTTGCGCACAATCGGACATAAGCCACGTGCAAAGAACTTTTTCTTGCTGTGCTGTTTTTCACCCTTTAAAGTCTGTTTTGCTTTTGTTTTAGACCTAGAAGGTTTTGACTCCGTGGTGTCATCTACTGAGAAACTCAGCCACCCAACCACGAGCAGACCAAAAGCTACAGGGAGGCGGCCTCCATCCCAGTCGCTCACATCTGTAAGTGTCTCTGCATAGCATCTCCCCTCTTCTCTGCAGGTGACAGCAGAAAAGAAGAGTAAGGACTTTAGCTACGGATGCTTCTTCAAGTAGGTGGCCTGGAGAACACCCAGCAGAGAGGGAGACCACGCAGCACATGGTCAACTGCTAGTGATTTGAGAACCTTCTTGAATCCAGCAGGATTTATTTCTGTTTGTTCTGTGTGTTTCTGCCACCCAGGTAGCAACCGCTGCCCAGTCCCACCTTCTTCTACTCCCCATCCAGAATGATTCTTGCTTGAACCTGAAATGAAACCGGTGAGGGGGAAAAAAAGCAAGTTTCATGATGGGCACGGGAAAGCTAGGCTGATGGGTCTCTAAGCAAAACAACCTCGGCTGAACAAAAACAAAGACCTACCTCTGTACACCTAAGCACTGGCTGAATCTTCATCCCCTACTGCTCTGTTGTGATACCCCACCCTGCAGAACCCCACATGTAGGAGAGCCCATTCAGAGCTCTTGGCATTGGCCATGGTTTCGGGGTTGGATCTTTTTGGATTCCTTCTGTTGCAAAGCCATTTCCAATTGACGGTCCCAGATTTGCAGAACAAAACATGTTGACCTGCATTGCTGCTGCCAAGGCGAAGAACTGTTGACCTGTTGCTCTGCATCAATTACTATAAAAACACTTTTAGATACAGAAAATGAGTTCTTCAACAAATGAGCCCATACATAGTATGCATTATTTTTCAAATTGCTTCCAGTCATTGCCAGTTCTACAACATGGCCTACTAGTCTGACCCTGGACTCTGGGAGCTTATTTAGCCAGCATACCATTTTGAAGCATTTATGTTCCCAGTTCTTCATTATGATCAACACTCAAGTAAACACCACTGTAGAAAAATCTCAGTACTTCTCCAACATGATTCACTTAGGTAAAAAGTTTCTGAAAGTAGATCTAACAGCAATTGATGGCTTTGCTTTGGCCACATGTTGTAAACTACTTCTGCCTCTGCAAAAGTTAAGTGTGCTTTCATGAGTATGTGTGTGTGTGTGTGTGTGCGCGTGTGTGCACACACACACATATCATGCATGAGAAAGAATCCGTTTGTCTATGAGGGTACTTCACAAAGTTCATGGACAAATGCAATTAAAAGATAAGTTTGTTTTGGTGCAAAAAGATTTGAAATCCATATATACACAGGGTCTCCAAAAGATGGTAGAAAGTGTGCATTATGAAAAACTGGGCATAGATGTCCAAATATTTTTGCACTAAAATCAGTCTTACTTCATTTTCCATGACCTTTTTGAGGTATCTGTCTTTGTCTCTGCGTATCACAGTGCCTTGTCTTTCCCCTGGGGCTTTATAACTCCCACCCAGACTCACCAAGGAGTTCATCTTCCTAGGTTTCCCAGGACGCTCTCTGTTTTCCTCACTGATTCCACCTAGGTTGTCATCATGTGCAAGGAAGAGATTAGAATTCCTCTGGAATCTCCTTTTTTATAGCGACTGGATCTGGACATCTGGTTAGCATTCCACTGTGTGTCCCATTTGTGTGAAATAAAGCCAGGTTGTGTGAAATCAGCACCACTTTGAGAGAAAGACCTTAAAAATTGACTTAATTTACTCTTACATGGAGTTCTGTGCCAATGCCATCTTCTTTCCTTCCCTCATACCTGTCCATATCCCACCCCAACATGTCTCACATACATGCAACCTATTGAATCGCTTCTTATCTCTCTGTTTCAGTTTTCAGTCTGACTTTCCATGTTATCTCTATAAATCCTTCATTTGTCTTCCTTGCAAGTTCTTCCTTTGTAGGTCCAGAATTAAATACAAAGAGATGCAAATTACACCCTCCACTCCATCTTTGATTCATTCATCCCCTGTCTGGGAGTTTTTCTGTATTTTGGGGCCCTGATAAGGACATCCCATCCTCACCCTGCTTGTAGACTACATTCATCCAGCCAATACATGAGGTCTTCAAAGTGTTCATGGGAAATGCATACCATGAAAAAACTGTAAGCTTCACAGAAAAGTTTTTTGCATCAACATGAATTTCTTTCCATTTTGTTTTCCATGAACTTTCCGAAGTCCCCTCATGTTCCTAAGTATCTGTCTACCCTGGGCTCAGACAGGGCCAGATCTCAAGGACACAGCTGGCAAAAATAAGCTCACTCTTCTTATCGATCACTGCCCACAGGAAGCTTACGGTGCAGTGACTAGAAGCTTGGCATTTGGGAAACTGGTTGTATTGTAGATATCAGACAACAGGATCCATTGGTACTCAGAAGAAGTGTGTGATTCCTATACTCTTTCCCCCCTCATTCCTGTCCTTCCCCATTTGGATGTGAACAGTGAATTCCTACTTACTCTGTTTCCAGTTAGCATCTTGGGTTTTTCATAACGAGCTTGGATTAGTGGATGTGGACATACTCCTGAAAGGGCACCGTGGGAGAGATGATGGAGGAACTGTATTAGCCACGATCCCGCAACTGGTGACCTCTCACCCGCGTTGAGGCTCTTTGTGTCTGTAATAGAACTGGAAGAGCAAGTTTTGATTGGCAGTTGTTGAGGGAGAAACTGACTTTGAATACAATCTCAAAGTGATGAAAGGATCCAGGCATACGTGTTAGTTAGGCAGTTAAGCCCAGATTAATGAGAAAGCTTGGGAGGGTGTTGGAGGACTGTTATTCTAGGTAATTGGATTTTCAGATGAAAGGAAAATTAACAAATAACACCTCTTAAGTTGGAAAATTTGCTTTAAAATTCTCTGCTATGTAATAGGCTTCTGTCTTAGTAGGTAAATAGAAATAAATAATACTGTGGCCCTAATTTTTCTATAATGATACCACTTTGTGATTATAAATAGACCTCTTTTTCTACCACAGGGATAGAAGGCATAGAGATGAGGATCAATGGGAACTCACCCCAAGATATCTCTGGCACATTCTTCATTTTGAAAGATCGCCTGCTATAGGAAGTCTTTGTTTCATTGGCATTGTCTAAACCAGGGAGCTTCTATCTAACCCAATGATCATTTATGTCCAAATGAATTCTAGCACGTTAGTCCCCAGCCAGCCAGCTTGGTGACCATCACCATAATCTGTTTCATGAAGAAGGGGTAGTCATCTTGTCTCTCCGTGTTTCCCCCAAAGATGCCCCATGCTATAAGCATACATCAGCATCTACAGAGCCAAAATGAGCATTGCCTGTCAACAGTCATGAGGGCAGAGACTGAGCAGCAGATACCAAAGTAGATGAGAGGCTGTTGTGGCAGCAGACTGCAGATACACTGGTCACTGGGGCACAGGTCTGAGCGCCTCTAGTCCTGATAACGCTTGCAACAGATACAGTGATTTCCCGGAACGACCAAGGAAAAGAATGAGGAGGGGGAAGAAGAGAGGCAGCTCCCATGGAGCTGTGTGTTTTTCCCCATGCACTGTCATTAGCCCCATGACAACAGGGAACATGTGTGGCCCATCACCCCACAGCCTGCAGCAGTAAGCCAGTGCTGGCCATGTGGTAGAGGGAGCAGGCAGCAAAGGGTGGCTGCGTGCAGGGTGGAGCAGGAGGCTTGGCATCAGTAGGCAGAAGCCTGGTGCAGGGAGCCTTGCCTCTCACCCTGGGCCTGCTGCTGAGCAGCTGCATGACGTGGGTGAACAGCCACTCGTGCTCCTGTTGCCTCGCCTCACGGGGTGGCGAGAAGACCACAGAAGAAGCACTCAGTGCTCTTAAAGGCGTACAGCACCATCAACCATCCACTGAGGTGTAATTCTGACAAAGCATCATTTTCTTTTGGCTTTATCCAGTCTTCCCTTTCAAGCCCTGATATCTTCGACTCCCCAAGTCCCGAAGAAGAGAAAGAGGAACACATTTCCCTTGCACACAGAGGAGTGGACGCGTCAAAGAAAACTGCAAAGACTGTTACCATATCCCAAGTGAGTGACCGGCCAGGGCAAGGGGGTCCCTGCCCTTGCCTGCATGCTCTGACCGTGGGGAGACAACACACGAGGAGGTGTAGGCAGCACGTTTCTGTCATGCTTTAGTGCCAGTGGTGGCCGTAGACATCCCGATCCCCGAGGCCGCTCGGAGTCCCTGGCTGTTCCCTTATCAAGTTTTTCTCTTGCTGATTGCATGTGTGTGGGAGTCCCCACACACATGCACAGGTGCTCCCCCTGGGCAACAACCAGCCTCCAAGTGGCTGAGGGAGAAGGCATTAAATGCTGTGCCCTCTGTCCCTTGGACAAAAACTGGTGTGGATTCCTCTTCTAGGATTAATTTGTAATTTAAAAATACTTTACTTTCCCCACATGCCAGGGGATGCTATAGATATTTTAAGGTACTGATTTCTGAAAAACAAGACATTATTAAACCATCATCATGTATCTTTCAACAACTACCCTGGACACATTCTATTCTTTCTATGCTTGTGAACCAAGGGTGTTTTTTTTGTTTGTTTGTTTTTAAGTTTATTTACTTGGAAAGCAGAGCTAAGGAGAGTGAGAGAGGAATAGACAGAGAAAGAAAGAGATCTTTCTTCGGCTGAAGCTGGGCCCATCTGAACCAAGAGCTTCTTCTGAGTCTCCCGTGTGGAATGGAACTGAAGCAGCCAGGACTCGAACCAGTGCCCACATGGGATGCCGGTGCTGCAGGCAGAGGCTCTGCCTGATATACTACAGCACCAGGCCCGAAACCAAGATTTTTAAATCCTATTTTCTCATCTTGAGAAAACTCATTCAGGTGCAGTTTTTGCTCATAACGTTGGCAGCTTGCTTCCTTCGACATACACAGAAACCTGTAGTTACTTGAGGCAGGAATTAGCCCAAAGAAATCAAGGGTTGCTTCCCATAGACTTACAAATCTACATGTATAGATTTTCTTTAAAGCCTGACAAAATAAGCAAAACATTGTGCTATAAAACAGATGCATTGTAGTTATCCACAAAACATAAGCATTCTTCACTTATTAAAAAAAAAAAAAGAATTTCATTTGCACAGCAGCCTGTGACCAAGGTACACTGCAGGTTCCTTCTGGGTGACTCCACAGTGACATCTACTGGTAGACAGTGGCTTTTTTTCATGTTTCTGGTTTGCACAGTTCCGTCCCATTAGCCTACCACAGTCCTCCCGAGTTGTCGTGTTGTGTTCCTCACTGCTTTTAGGAATTACACTTGAACTAATTTGGTCAGGGACTGTGGTCTCTCTGCAAGGGCTCAGAAAGTACTTGTTGGCGGAAGTGGGCTGGGAGATTGAGTCGCACAGGAAATGCCAAGAGAAGCATTGATTCCAGAAATGTCTGGAAGCCAGTCAGTGTAAGGGCATTGGTGGGTTGCAGGAGGTCCAAAAGGATGCAGGCTGGAAAGCGGGAGGATGCGTGAGCCCAGTAGTAGTTCATATGCCAAGGAAAGCAACGGGGAGTGGGGAGCGTGGATCCGCATCTCTGGCAGCTGGGCACGAGGGGCCCTGCTGGTAGTGGTAAGAGGACAGGCTCCGAACTCAGTGGCTGCTCAGCTCAGACTCGGGGAGTGATGGCCACCTCTGGAAGCCCCACTCTCCTGTTCCACAAAATGCTCAAGCCAGCCAGTCCCTACTGAACTGGTCTCGCCAACATCCGGCTTGCAATCCAAGCTCCCTGAACGTCAGTCCCTCTTGCCGCTGACTGGAGTTCCTGCTGACAAGAGCACACATGCTGGCAGGTGGCTCTGCCTGGCAGGAGAAAGCATTTTTCCTCAATGGCAACTTGGCAGAGAAGAGGCGAGCAGAGAACCTGGGAGGGATGGCCCATCTGCTCCTGCCTTGTGCTGCCCGCTCTCCAGCACAGCCTGGATCCAGACTCTACCTCCCCATGGTGCCAGCCAAGCCCTTCATTGGCTTCTGCCCTTGGGTGGCCAGCTGGGCACCTGCTGCTGGAGGGAGTCCATGGCTGCATTGCCACACTTGCTCAGCAGCCTCAGCTTCAGCCTTGTCCCTCACCCCCTCGCCTCCTGACATCCTATTCTGCCTACATTGCCTCCCTCCTTACCTGCCTACCAACTTGCCTCCCCCTGCTGGTGTGTCCTTCCCAAGCCTGGCAGGTACCCCCGTTTTCCCCCCAGCCCAGCCTCACCCCATCAGGCCTCCTCTACCTGCCTCCTCCAGATGGCAGCCATCACTGAAAGCAAGCACTATCCTTCTTTGATCCTCTCTGCCCTTGGGACTTCCGCAAGAACTCTTTCCACTGGTTCCCTTCCATCGTCTATGACAAATGCATCCTCAACTTACAGGCTGTGCCATGCCGCTCTGGTTTGGAAAACTGATCTGCCACAGTCAGGGTTCCATCTTCCATGTGCCAACAAATTCCCATCCCACCCCCAGTTTTCTTCTCAGTACTATTAGCTCTCTTATCCAACCGTATTTGTCTTTCTGGAACCTTCTGCAGGGGACTTGGATAATTCATGCCTCTCTGCTGGTCTTACCTCAGTCTTTTCTGTCACTCTTTTCCTGTCACCAAATGCTCCTGCTCTCTGCTCTCCTCCCTCCAACTTTGGACTTGCCCAGGCTCCACCCTTGGGACCTCTTTTCCTTCCATCTTATCCACCCTGTGGCTGCTACTTCCTCTGACCCAACTCAGTCTTTGCAATGCTGGTCCTGCCCATGAAGCACATCCCCTCTGCCACTCTTTGGGCTCTAAAATTCAAGGTATCTAGAACTGACATCATGATGCTCCTGCACATGCTCACTCTGGCCACATGGACCACCAGTTCATCTGCTTCCACACTGGCCCTGCAACTGGACTGCTTCCTCCACCCCACATAGCCTGTCTGGAACCATACACATCCCTCTGGTCCTGAGGTATCTGCTCCACCAGGACAGGGACCCTCCTCTGCTGTGCCCACTTCCCACCCCAGCACCAAAAGCAAGCCACACACACCCTTTGTTGGATGTGCCTGCCTCTGCCGCTTCTCTGAGAGCTGTGTTCCGTTAACCATCTTGGCCACTGTCTGGGTCCAACCCTCCCCATTTCAACCTTCTGTTGTTTGAGACTCTCCAGGGAGCTTTCTGTCAAGCCAGACCTGCCAACCCTCAGGTCCTTCTGTGGCCAGAGTGACTGTGTACGTGGCGTGTAGTCTGTCTCAGCCTTCCACCTCCCCAGCTGGCCTCTCCTTCCCTACCCCACTGCTGTCACCTCTGACCCTGCAGGCCTACTGAATGCTGGCTGTGGGGCTCCAGGCACTTGCTGAGGCTAGCGCCTCCTGCAGCCCTTTTTCCCAGCCTCCAGTGTGGGACTGTCAACTCCTGCTTTCCACGGCCTGCCCTACTGCACAGTGGGCCCTTCCAATGTACTTCCGGGGCTCTCCCTGCATCCCTCTGCCTTGGCCAGTCTTCCTGTCCTCTGCGGTGTGCTGGCTTGTCTGTCTGTCTGTAGCCTCACTGGGCTCCAAGCTCCCTGAGGGCCAGGACAGTGTCTTGCTCACTTCAAGCAGGTGGCCATCTCTAGGTGCTTCTGCAGCCAGTTAGAAACTGTCCCAAAGGAAGGTCACATTTAAAACTTGAAGAAGGAGGCACCAAGTGGGTCCCTGATGAGCTATGGATGAAGGAGTGAGCAAGTGGAGTGTGTACGGTGAGGGGGAACAGGGCTGCTAGGGCAGGGTGTGGCTAACTAGGACAGGGAGGCCCAGCTCAGCCCCTGGCCCTGAGTCCTCCCTGCCTTCCATCATCACAGGTGTCTGACAACAAAGCATCCCTGCCACCCAAGCCAGGGACCATGGCAGCAGGTGGTGGAGGGCCAGTCCCTCTGTCCTCAGCGGCAGCACCCTCTGCTCTGTCGTCCTCTTTGGGTACGGCTGGACACAGAGCCAACTCCCCATCGCTGTTTGGCATGGAAGGAAAACCAAAGATGGAGCCTGCGGCCAGCAGCCAGGCGGCCGTGGAGGAGCTGAGGACCCAGGTCCGCGAGTTGAGGAGCATCATCGAAACCATGAAGGACCAGCAGAAGTGAGTGAGCTGCCCTCTCCCCTGCTGGCCTCCCGACTCCAGCTGCTGGAGACAGCAGTGGTGGTGGTGTGTGAAGGCCAGGGGTGGGGTTGGGGGGAGCGTGGCAGGGCATGGGTGCTTCATCTACACATGAATTTTGCTTTGTTACCATGGGCCACAGGACATGCATCAGTGAGTCAGTTGCGAGGACTGACCCTCTCGGTGGGCTGCCGGGATGGTACTTGAGGTCTCCTGCCCCCAACTCCTTCAGCTGTCCCTTGCCATCGGATTCTGCAACACACATGCTTACGTACCCAAAGGTGCTGCCCCTGGCCACATGGGACCTGACTGGACAGTGGCCCCACAGCCCCAGGAGATCTCAGATCACTGGTGCTCAGCCAGCTCAATGGAGCCATTGTTGAATGTGACAGGCCCATGTCCAGGGCTTTGGCAAATCCTCTTGGAGATATCTGGACCCTGGCCACACGTGCAGGCTGGCCTGAGTACAGAGGCAGCTGGGCTTGGGGCTTGCTTTACACTGTGCTTCTCCCCACACCCCCATCAGTAGTTGGTTGGGGTTGTCCTGCCCCAGCTGACACCTGCTTGAATCAACACCTTATGATCAACCCTCATCTGAGATCTGCCTTCCCTTCCTCCACCTGGTCTCTGTGCCTAGAGTCAGCGCCCACCCTACCAGTGTCCTCCCATCACTATGTCACTTTCCTCTCAGGCTTCAAGTCCATAACAACTCTACTTCCTCCCCTCCCCCCCCCAAATGTGCTGATTCTCACTTCCCTGGGTGTGTCCCGGGGTTTTCCCATCATGCTTCCTTCTCGTACATCACACCCATTCTTACTGGCTATTTGGACAGCCTTCTGCTGTGGCCTCTCCCTACCTGGACCACTCGAGGCTTCATCTGCTATAGTCGTACCATTGGCTTGAGATCTCACCTCCCGCTTCTTTATTAAGCCTTAAGTAATCCCACTGAGATGTAGCTGTATAGTGTGTGCTAGAATAAACAAAACCATGAACTACACTGGCTAATGGCAGTGGTTGGCAGCAGTGCTGGGACAGTGTCCCAAGTGTAGGCAGAATCCTGCTACTCATCTAAAGGGAGCAAGTGCAGTATTGCTTCAATCTCATTTAGTATGCAGCTTCCACCATTTTGGGTTTTTTTTTTTAGTGTTTTTAAAATTTGTTTTATTTTGATGATATTTGCATAGTTAAGAAGGATGCATGCCCATGTGGACCACGGATTAGGGTGGGGAGGAATGAGGAATGGGAAAAGTGGATGAGACAACTGTTTCCTATCTCTTTTTTGCTTCCTGTCCCTGGGGGAATTTGCGAAGAGAAGGGGAAAGGGCCACTCCCAGCAGCCCAGCTGCATCAGTACCCGTGGATGGGGGATGGCCATTCGGTGTCTTCCCTGGGTCCCTAATGTGCAGCATTTTCCAAGGGTACTGCTTAAATGGTTTTGATAGTTCTGAGATGTTGTTGATTTCATTGTTCAAGGTTGAGGGAACCCTTCCAAGGTCCATTGGCTAATATGTTCCAACTTAGAGTATCCACTTGCTCAGACACTTGCTGACAAAGCTTGCCTGGGAGAGCTGTCCAATTTGTTTTGCCCTCCATGGTACTAGACATCCTCTGCAGGCCTCAGTGAACTGGTTGTCCTGTCCCCCATGTGCATCTAGGCATGCTGTCCACTGCACAGGCTTCAACAACTGAGGAGACCAAGTTCTGACATGTGCACTCCACAGTCAGACCACAGATCCTGTGATTTTCCCTGTGGTTGGAGTTCTGAGTCCAGTGGTCCGTTTGGGTCCCCAAAGAAACTTCTTCTGAGGCAACCCCAGACCTGATTCTTATATGTGCCAGCCAGTGTGGGGTCCGATTCAGTCTGTCATGCACATCAACCTACACGTACACTGGTAGTTATAGTCGCCTAGACAGTTCTATCTCCAATTCCATCTCATATGCAAAACAATGTATGATGCAGCCCAGCCCAACCCTGTCCACCACACACTTGGCCCTCACCCACACCAGCAGGAGCTGCATCCCAGTCAGAGCAACCCCCAGAAACCCCTACCAGATACACCTCCAGTCCTGGTTGCTGTGCATGCCAGTGTGTACATCAAACGTCCCGCATCCCATTCGTCTCTTGTACAGATAGTGGGTGTTGGAGCCTAGCTCAGCCTCACCAACGTCATTATCCAACCCACACTCATGTTCGTGGGTACCACTGCCTGTCTAACCAAGCCCACCCCAGCCATAGTTCTCATGCTCACCAGTGGGAGCTGCGACATCAGAAGCGTGCCTACAGTTTCCCTACTAGGCCCACTCCTAGCCCCACGTGTTGTACTTTCCAGATGGTTCTGTGGTCCAGCCTGATAGGAATTGCCTCCAATCAACAATGCAGCAAAACCTTACCAGCCTGTACTTACTGTGGCTCATGCATGCACCAGTGGATATGGTCACTTAGCCCAGCCTGGCTCTCTCCTCAAATCAGCTCACATGCAGGCCAGTGGGTTTTATTTATAGCTCTGGCCAGCCTGGTCTTCCCCCAGTCCCAGCCCTCATACTCACCAGCAGGATCAGTAGCTCAGCAGAAGAGTCCTTGCAGCCTCCCTCCAAGGCTTGCCCCCTTCCCCAGTCTTTTATATGCTGGTGAGTGCTACAGCTTAGCCCAGACTGGACTGTCCCCAGTTCTGGCCTTAATGTGAACTGGCTGGTGTTGCAGCCCAACCCAGCCTGTCCTGCACCCCATCCTGGCTCTCACATCTGCCAGTGGGTGTTATGAACTGGCCTAGTCTGTTTCACCCCCAGACTTGATCCACATGTATGCTAGCAGGTACTGTAATCTGGCCTCATCTGGACTGCTTCCAGTCTTTTTTTTTTTTTTTAAGATTTATTTTATTTTTATTGGAAAGGTGGATATACAGAGAGGAGGAGAGACAGAGAGGAAGATCTTCCGTCTGATGATTCACTCCCCAGGCGGCCGCAACGGCTGGAGCTGAGCCAATCCGAAGCCAGGAGCCTCTTCCAGGTCTCCCACACAGGTGCAGGGTCCCAAAGCTTTGGGCCGTCCTCGACTGCCTTCCCGGGCCACAGGCAGGGAGCTGGAAGGGAAGTGGGGCTGCCGGGATTAGAACCGGTGCCATATGGGATCCCGGGCGTGCAAGGCGAGGACCTTAACCACTGCGCCATTGCGCTGGGCCTTGCTTCCAGTCTTGATTCTTGCACTCACCTGCAGGGACTGTGTCCTGAAAGAGGAGTTCTCAGGTCACCTCCCAGTGGCAGATCTCTTGCACACCAGTGGGTTCTTGGCCTAACCTGACTTGGCCCACCTCCTGTCCTGGCAGGTACACTGGCTTTGCCTGACCTGTCCATACCTATTCCAGCTCTTACCTTTGGGTGCTTTAGGCCAGCTGCCTGGCCCACTCCTAGACCCAACTCTCATGTGATTTAGTGGGTACAGATACATAGCCCAACCCTTTCCACACCCACCCTGACTCCTGCGAGCAGTAGCAGGAGTCTTGGAGTCTTGCCTAGTCTGGTATACACCAGACCTAGTCCACTCCCATGCCAAGGGATGCTGCAGCCATGTCCAGTCCTGTTCACCATCCCCATTCCAGCTCTCGCACTCACTAGTGGGAACTGCAGCCCAGCTGAGGCATCCCCTTAGCTCCCTGACCAAACCCACTCCTAGCCACAGATCTTGCACATACTGGTATTTGCTCTACCCAACCTGGCATAACCTATCACCCAGCTTGGCCTTTGCATTGGATATTACAGCCTGGCTTAACCTGGCCTGTCCCTAGTCCCAACTCTTACTGATGGGTGCTGCAGCCTAACCCTGCCCAGCCTGCCCCCATCTCTAGTTTTCATGCAAACCAGTAGGTGTGATAGCCTAGCCTAGCCCAGCATGGCCCGCACCCCATCCTGACTCCTATGTATGCTGGTATGCTATGGTTTAGCCTTGCCCTGCCTAGTCTGCCCCCTATAGAGCCAACCCACACACCTGCCAACAAGTGAAGCAGCCCTGCCCAGCCTGACCAACACCCAGCTGACTCAGGTGCTCACCAGCGGGAGCAACAGCCCACCAGGGGAGTTCCCAAATTCCCCCACCAGGCCCACTCCCAGACCCAGATCTCATGTGCTGTTGGATGTTGCAGTCCAGCCTATCCCACACCCAATTCTTGGGTGCACCTGTGGGTGCTACAGCCTGGACTAGTCCAGCCTGTTTCCAACCCCAGTACCCATGAGTGTTGGTGAGTTCCATGGTCATGCCTTAGCCCATCATCACTCCCAGCCCTCAAGCAAACAGGCTGACATGGCAGTCCCACGGGGTGATCCCACATATCCTCCACAGAATCTGCCCCCAGACCTGATTCTCTTGCATGCTGGGTAATGTCATGGCCTAGCCTGACATTTTCCACCCCTGCCCCAACACTCGCTGGTGCATACTGTGGTTGAGCCCTGCCATGCAGGCCTCCCATCCATGGCTTTCGTGTGTGCCAGTAGATGGTAGTTGATACCAACAAGCCAAGTCTAGGTCTCCCATGTGGGCAGGTGTTTTACCTTGGCCCTGAAAGGTCCTCCAGTTTCCCTCCTCCAAACCACTTGGTCTCAGCCCCCTCATTTACCTGCAAGTGCAGTAGCCTGGTTGGTGGAAGTCCCCCAGAAGTCACTCCTCACCTGTCACATTCTCCCTCAGCACTCCTCCCTCCCACACATCCTCAGACCTGCTTCTCTGAGCAATCCACAGCCCCCCATGTACATGAGAGCACCGATCCGCAAGCCCAGTCCTCCAGCAGTGTGCCAGCCTGGGGCCGTGCCCATCTGCCTGAGGCCTTAGGCCCCTTCTGCTGGTATGCCAGTGTCTGCTTGCCACATATTTTTGAAAAAAAAATGGAGTAGGTAACTATGTTGGCACACTGGTATAGCTAACACAAATTTGGCATTACCCAGGCCTAGAATGCCCTCCAGTTATTAGCTGCTTTTTTCCCAACAGTGACAAACTTGCCTAGGTACAGTGCAACCTAGGCCATCACCTACAGCTGGGGTCCACTGTGTTTTAAAAACATTTTCAAGGCCAATTTGTAAAAATGGGAAGGTGAAACAGCAATTGATCCCTTAGAATGGAGAGCAGCTTTGCCCAGTGTTTGGATTGCTTGTGCTGTCCTACTGAGTGCTGGTTTGGGAAGATGCCGAGTTCCATTCTGCTTCATTATTGAATGCTGGAAGAGGTGTTAGGCTGTGGATCCTGGCTCCTGGCTGTGCTCTCCCAGACGTAACCAGCACAGGGTTAGTTCAGTTAGCACGCCTCCAGCTTTTCAAGTCTCATTTGTAGGGTTTTGTGGGAATTGACTATGTATACCAATAATCGTTTATTCATTTGAAATTCTGCTGAGGGGTAGTGGTTTGGCACAGTGAGGAAGATGCCCCTGGGGTGCAGTAACCCTGCATCACTGGTTCAAGTGCCTGGCTTTGATGCCTTGTTCTGCCTCTGGTCGCAGCTTCCCACCAGCATGCACCCTGAGAGGCAGCACGTGATGGCTGAAGTGTTTGGGACCCTGCCCCCCATGGGGGACATATGGATTCCGTTCCTGGCTCCTGGCTTCGGTCTGCCGCAGAGCCAGGAATAACAGGCAGTTGGGGAGTGAACTAGTAAAACAAGATAGATATTCTCTCTCCTTTCTTTTTTCTCTCTCGAATAAAAAATTTTTAAGTTGGAGTTATACAGAGAGAAAGATCATTCACCTGCTGTTTCTCTTCCCAAATGGCCACAGTGGCCTGGGATGGGCCTGGCTGAACCAGGAGCTTCTCTGGGTACAGGGGCCTAAGCACTTGGGCCATCTTCTGCTGCTTTCCCAAGAGCATTAACAGGGAAACTGGGTTGAAAGTGGAGTCTCTGGGTCTCAAACCAGTGCCCATATGGGATGCTAGCCTCGGACATGGGGGCTTAACCCACTTTACCACAATGCTGGCCCCATAAATAAAGATTTTAAGTATTCTGTTGAAAATAAAGGCATTACATATGGCAAGATAAAAATGTCTGCAGTAGGCCCGGCATAGTAGCCTAGTGGTTAAGGTACCTTACGTGCTCTGGGATCCCATATGGGCTCCAGTTTGTATCCCAGCTGCTCCACTTCCCACCCAGCTTCCTGCCTGTGCCCTGGGAAAGCAGTCGAGGATGGCCCAAAGCTCTGCATCCGCATGAGAGTCCTGGAAGAAGCTCCTGGCTCCTGAAGGTCAGCTCAGCTCCAATCATAGCCGCCACTTGGGGAGTGAACCAACAGACAGACGATCTTCCTCTCTGCCTTTCCTTCTCTTTGCATATCTGCAGAGAGATAAAAATAAATAAATATAAAATAAATAAATATGAGCACACACATGTGTGTGTGTGTAGCTGTAGTAGACAATTCTAAGTAGCTATACCGAGCAGCAACTTACTTAGTAATACACGAATAGAGGGAAGATGGCAGACTGCTGACCTGGATGGCTGGGATCTCAGCAGGAGGGCTCACTGTTCTGTATCTGTTTGCCCCGTGTTCTCCTTTATGGAGAAGTTTGGATAAAAGAATTTTCTTTCTTTAAGAGTTATTTATTTTAATTGCAAAGTCAGATATAGAGAGGAGGAGGGACAGAGAGGAAGATCTTCTATCTGATGATTCACCCCGAGTGACCGCAACTACTGGAGCTGAGCTGATCCAAAGCCAGGAGCCTGGAGTTTCCTCCAGGTCTCCCACTCGGGTGCAGGATCCCAGGGTTTTGGGCCATCCTCGACTGCTTTCCCAGGCCACAAGCAGGGAGCTGGATGGGAAGTGGAGCTGCCGAGATTAGAATCGGTGCCCATATGGGATCCTGGCGTGTTCAAGGCAAGGACTTTAGCCATTAGGCTACAGTGTTGGACCAACCCCCCAAAATTTCAAAGGCCTTTTCCAGACCTACCGTTTGATTGCTTTACATGGTGGTATCAGTGAGGGTAGGGTGTATGGGTGCCCCCCCATGGCAAACTTTTCTGTCTGAAATAAATATGAACAATTAACGGTGCAAACAAGACACAATGTTTTGTCCACACTATTTGGTGGGGGGGAGGTGGTAAAAGGGCCATTGGGTTATGTGGTGATAATGAGTATTCTTTAAACCCTCTGGGTGTTTGTTGAATTTCATTCTTGCTTGTTTTTTAGACGGGAGATTAAGCAGTTACTGTCGGAGCTGGATGAAGAGAAGAAGATCCGGCTGCGGTTGGAGGTGGGTCCCTCAGGTCCTGCTGCCCCAGGCCTGGATACACCTGAGGGCCAGGGCTGGGTTCTGGTTTTTGGAGGTTCAAGGCCTCGGCTTCTTGCTCAGAAGTGTTTGTACAATCCTTCCCCACCCCCAGGAGGTTTTAAGGAAGGGAGCTGACCAGTGCTCATCTGGTAAACTTCTCCTCTGCAGTTTCTCTGAAACATCTTCCCTGAGGCCTTATTAGGCGGAGTGCCCCGAGGATGTGCTGCTGAGGGCCCCAAACCCACCATGTGCGCTCTGGGGCTGCAGGCGCCACAACTGCTCGCCCCAGCACTGGCTTCTGGTGTGATCATCCCCCACCCCCGGGTGGCCAGGGCATCTGTGCTCTGGCCCCCTACAGCCACTGGGACCCCACTTTGCCATGGCCAGATTTGGCTTTCAGCTTGCATCCATTAGGTGGCCTTGCTGCCCAATGGAAGGATGGGTAATTGTCTGCCGTCACTGGAGGGAGGACGATGGGTACCCCTCGGATGGCCTGCACTGCCTTCCACAAGTTCCAAATGGTCCAGCTTGTCAGAGCTGCTCATTCCACCCCGTGGCTACGAAACCACAATCATTGTCACATTTGACAGACTTTCCTTTCTGGTAGCCCAAGAATTAAGACACGTGCTGTTTCCTCGTGCGTTGTGGCAGTATGCCTGTTGTTGAGGTTCGTGTCATTTCTGCGTAGTAAGGCCTTCTTCACTCACACCGTTGCACCCATTTCACAAGTAAAATTGGCAGGTTGATGGCTGTCCCTCAACTTGAGGTTGATTATCTTTCACACTTCTGTGGTGCCAGCCAGGCTGTTAAGATTTTGTCCGATTCTTTCTGTTTTTTTCCCTCTATAGATGGAAGTGAATGACATAAAGAAAGCTCTTCAATCAAAATGAATACTTGATCAATGAGATGTCGCATTATTCATCCTGAGTCAAAGACTCAAATTTTCTGCCCCAGCCAAAATAATCTTGTGCCAAAAGATTCAAGGTTTGCCTCAACATGCCCCTGTTTCAAAGATTAGCACAAAACTCTTGATAGCACAGCACAAATCCCACCCAAGAGGAGAATCTTGCCCGTGGTGTAGTCCTGACTCGCGTTAGGTGCGACTTCAGCAGGACACATTGTGCTAACGGCTTTTCTACTTGGAGATCTCACGTGAAACGAAAACTCAGGCAGTTTAGTCCATAGTGGTACTATTTTGATGATATTTTCCATTAATAAAATGTAATTTCAGATGATTCGTTTACAAGCTTTATAATTTTATGATTTTTTTAAAAATTGTGTTTTGTCACAGATCCCCTTAGCGTGTGTGGCACACACAGTCAGGAGCGAGCAGCCCTTTCCCGGGCTTTGGGGGCGAGCTGCCCCGCTTCGTGTGCCCTTTAGCATTCTATCACATATGCAATTGTAGACCTAAGCTGTCCCTGCCCCCGCCAGCCAACCTCACCGCCCCAAGAGAAATGTGAGCTTCTATATGAACAGAGAGAGAAAAATCTGGTATTTGCAATGATCTGTGCCTTCTTTCTACCACCCCTCTTGATTGGAGCTTTTGTGATGCAGCTACCATGATTTTAAAAATAAACTCAAACAACAAAAGTCAGTAAATAGAAATGGCCACTCTCCGGACTCCGCTAGAGGCTACTGTCTTCAAGCTTCACTCACCCTTGCCACAGGTCGGAAGAAGAGACAGCCCTGAGGCTGGGCTGCTCCTTGGAGCCGGCCACAACTTGCCCAGTCCCTCCCACTTTTAAGTCGTTCATGAAACTAGAAATGTCATCCCTGCTTGATTTCTCATCAGCCAAGTTCAACCCTTGCTTCCTGTCCTTTGCACCTTTTGTGTGAACAGAATATGCATTATTAAAGCAAAAATAAATAAAAGCAAAATGCAAATGAGAACTGGGGGTGGGGGGGAAGTTGTATTATTTCCTGCACTTGTGTGTGTGTGTGTGTGTGTGTGTGTGTGTGTGTGTGTGTGTGTTTAAACTGTCCCCACAGAATGTCATCTGTCTTGCTTGCTCATAACCCCTTGCTCAGGCCAAGAGAATGGGGGTGGGGCTTGCTTCCAGCCTAGCCAGCAGCACTCTTGCATTTATGGCCTTGCTGGATCCTCTCCCCAGGAAGCCCACATTTACTCCTCTGCATTGTCTTGGCGCGCAGCAGCAGACTGTAGCCCCATTTCTCTGGCATGCTGAGATCAGAGAGTGGACTGTGAGTATGGACAGACGCCCGCGTCCTCGTGCCTGGGCCTGGACTATGGGAAGGGGTGTACACAGAAAACAGCCGCACATCTTCCATTCCTGTATCCGCATGCCTTGTCTTTAAAACAGCCTTGGTCTCAGGGAGCCAAGGTCATGGCTCCAAGGCCTGGGGCAGCAGTCCCTACCCCTTGACTGTTGTGTTTCCAGGTTAACCTTGAAGCCTTCAGAGATAGCACCTAATAGCAAAATGAGGACAGCATGCAGCAGTATTTAAAATTTTTATTCACTCACCATGAGAATCCCCAGTGAAATTTTTTCTAAAGATTTATTTATTTGTTTATTTTACTGGAAAGTGAGATTTACAGAGAAAAGGAGATACAGAAAGATTCACTCCCCAAGTGTCTGAAATGACCGAGCTGAACTGATCCAAACTCAGGAGCCAGAGGTTTCTTTTGGGTCTCCCGCACTGGTGCAGGGTCCCAAGGCTTTGGGCCATACTGTACTGTCCTCCCAGGCCACAAGCAGTGAGCTGGATGGGAAGTGGAGTAGCTGGGACATGAACCAATGCCTATATAGGATTGTGGCACATGCAAGGTGTGGAGTCAGTGAGTAGGCTATAGCATGGGGCCCAGTGATATGGTTTTATATAACACATATACAAAGTTGGCTTCTTAATTTAATTAAGTTGTGACACCCTCGAGGGGCACTGGCACATGTGGAAGGTACAGAGCTGATGTCTTCCCCTCATAGAGGCCATCAGCATCTTTGCTAGGAGAGGGAGAAGCAGTTTTAGAAGGAGCATTGGGCCCATCCCCCCACATTATTGACCCTTGAGCTAACCAGCAGGACGAGTACAGCATGGCACTGGATGAATTGGTGCTCAGCGGCTGCCATCTTCACTGTACAAGATGGACCCATTGGGGACACAGAAAAGCTTGGAAAGATCACTTTTGGGAAAAAAAAATAGGTTTGTATTAAGCACAAACTCAACCAGGCATCGATGGAGATCACTTTTTAGCCTCATTTTCTTTTAAGATTTATCTGTTTCTATTGAAAAGGTAGCCAGGAGCCTCTTCCAGGTTTCCCACGCAGGGTCCCAAGGTTTTGGGCCATCTTCAACTGCTTTCCCAGGCCACAAGCAGGGAGCTTGATGGGGAAATGGAGCAATCAGGACATGAACCTGTACCCATATCCTGGTGCTGGCAGGGAAAAACCTGCCTGTTGAGCCATTATGGTTGCACCCTCTGCCTTTATATATATATATATTCTTAATTACACTCTAGAAATAGTGGTGATGCCTACATGAGAGTGTGAATGTATTTCATGCCTTGGAAATGTACACTTTAAAATGGTCCAAAAGCTCCTCACTTGCAAGCAGCCCAACTCCAGCCCTGGCCACTATTTGGATAATGACCCAGCAGGTGGAAAATCTGTCTCCCAGTCTCTCCTTTCTTTCTCTGCCTTTTTGTTTAAGATCCATTTTTATTGGAAACACAGAGTTATATGGGGAGAAAAATCTTCCATCTGCTGATTCACTTCCAAAATGGTGGTGAGGGCTGGAGCTGAGCCCATCTTTAGCCAGGAGCTTCATCTAGGTTTCCCACGTGGGAGCAGGGACTCCAGCAGCATAAGCAGGGAAGTAGAGTATCTGGGAGGCACACCAGTGCCCATTTGGGACCCTGGAGGCCCATCTGTGGCCCTGGTAACCATCTGGGGAGTGAGCCCACGCGTGGAAAAGTTCTCTGTAATGCTACCTTTTTCTCTTTTCTTTCTTCCTTTCAATTTGATTTGTTTTTATTGGAACAACATCTCCTACATGGGTGCAGGATTCCGAGACTTCTGTTTAAAAATGTTTTTTATAAAGGCCTTAAGTATACATTTTTAGTGGGAAAACATTTAATTATCATTATGTGAATAATTGTGTAAAGTCACCTTTATTCATCTGCCAGGCAGGACGCCCAAGTCCATAATTGCTTCTCCCCTAAGGAGAGAGCTGTCTAGTGCCAGCTGTGTGTCTTTGGTCACTGGTTGGGAGATTTTATTTCTCTTCATGTTCTACTCCTTGATAGAAGACTGCAAGGTGTACTCTGCTCAGAATTGTCATGGTCCAAATTAAAATAGTGCCAAGGTCCCCCTGCAAAGGCCTCTATATTATAATCTGAGGTCACCATAGTCCCATTTTGAACTTAGATTAGATTTTAGTCCTTTTCTTATTTTAGCTCAAATTAATGTCAAGGTGTTTGGGCACCAAGAGGGCTTGAGAGAAAGCTTTTTCCTTCTGGATTTGTACAAATGAGAAACAGAACAAGGTCCTGTGTGGGGGGTCACTGTGTTCAGCATGCTGACTGAAGGGAATGCTGAGTTTGTGGGCCCACGGCCTGGGGAAGTAGATGCTGCTCTCCAGATGAGCCACAGTGGGGGAGGGGGGGCCCAAGGCAGAGCCAGATCCTTGGCACTGGAATCCCTCGGCACTGGCTTGGCACAGCCAAGGGAGGCCAGAGCCCTGTCCTGTCATTCCAAGCTTCCTCCCTAGGCTCATCCTTGATGCTTCCTGTGTCTGGGCGACGAGATCCCTGAAGCCCAGAAGAATCCTGGAAGGAGAGGCTGGGCCCCCAGAAGGGACTTGATTGTATGCATTTTCACACCATCCCAAATTGAAGTGGCCGCTGGGGCATCCCTTCCTGCTGAAGACAGTGTGTGCTCAAGGTTGTGAACTTGGAACTCACTGTAAAGGGACTACTTCTCTTGTTGGAGTGATAAGCGATAACTTATTTCAGCCAAACAGTAAAATGAAATGGTCTGGTAAGCTGTAGCTGAAATTTCCTGAGGAAAGAAAAAAATACTGAACAAAAGAGCTAGATTCCAGCAGACTAGCTTCCTGGGGCTATTCTCTTAAGATGGCAACAGTTTAATGAACTTACCCAGATATACCAATGTCATGGAAGTCTTAAATGTTCCCCCAAACTGCCATGCCAATTCTTCTTTATGCAATTTTAAAGGTTTATTTTATTAGAGTTACACAGAGAAGAAAAGATGGGGTATGGGGAGTCTTCCATCTGCTGGTTCACTCCCCAAATGGCCACAACAGCCAGAGCTGAGCTGATCCACAGCCAGGAGCCAGGAGCCAGGAGCCTCTTTCAGGTCTCCCACACAGGCACAGGGCCCCAAGGCTTTGGGCCATCCTTCACTGCTTTTCCAGCCACAGGCAGGGAGCTGGATGGGAAGTGGAGCAGGTGGTACACAAATCAACACCCACATGGGATGCTGGCGCGGCAGATGGAGGATAAGGCCCTTATATCACAAAGTCTTATACAATGTGACAGGTGCCTGAGAAAATCAAGGTTGGTTGGCATGCTTTGAACCCTTTTTAGGGCAGAAAGCTCCTGAAAATGTGAAAAAAAATCATAGTTTTTATTAGAATATTTTTAATGGTTTCTGCACCAAGTTTCAAATGTGCCAAGCTGATAAAACCATTCTGAAAGCAAAAAGAAATGTGAAGCAAGGAATAACATTTCTCAGATGGTTCCCCCAAGAAAAAGAAGTGTTTAAAAAGAAATGATGTGGATTATTTTTGAACCTTTGAATTGTTAAGTTCAATGTAAGAGAATGATTTGGCTGGGACTGAAAGCTAGGGACCAACCACATGCATGAAACGTCCACCATTCCCTGCCTTGGTCCCAGGAAGTCCTAACAAAATTTTTGTTCTCAAGTGGGGCAGCCTGCCTGGAGGAAGTAATGATGATGGTGACAAATTCCATGGCCGTGTAAACACACCCCCACACCAGATAGGTCTGTTCAGAAGTGTCTTGCCAATGAATCTTCATCTTCTTGAAAGGTTTAGGGGCTATGAGTGATAATTCTAGGATCAAATATAGAACCCAATCCCCTTGAGTGTTTTTAAATAGGTTATGTTTACTGATTATGAAGCTGATTATGCCCAAAATAAAGCATTAAAGAGAAGGCAGGAAGTATCCTAATCTTGTTCATAAAACTGCCTTTACTTTAGTCTCATAGTGGTGGCGGGTCTTTGTATATAGTTT